CCCTAAAACCCTAATCCCTAACCCCTAAACCCTAAACCCCTAAACCCCTAAACCCCTAAACCCCTAATCCCTAAACCCCTAAACCCCTAAAACCCTAAAACCCTAACTTCTTCCCAGCCCAGTGGGCTCGGCGGCCGGCCGCGGCTGCCAGGCCGCCTTGGCTGCCTGCGAGGCCAGGGCCCTGGCCGAGGCTGGGAACCTGGGCTACTAGGGTTTGAAGGGGTTAATACAGGGGATTATATAGGGATTCTATAGGGATTATATAGGGATTTTATAGGGATTATATAGGGATTATATATGGATTATATTGGGGTTATACTACATTATATTGGGGTTATAGTAGGGCTTAAAGGGGTTAATAGGGGATATAGGGGATTATATAGGGATTATATATGGATTATATTGGGGTTATACTACATTATATTGGGGTTATAGTAGGGCTTAAAGGGGTTAATATAGGGGATTACAGGGATTATATAGGGACTATGTAAGGAACATATAGGGATAATATGGGTTTAGGGTTTAGGGCTTAAAGGGGTTATATCTTGGGTTGGGCCCCCGCCCACTGATAGTGGTATACTAGGAATGTACAAGGGCCTTACTACAATTACCCATTAATTCTTATGGTCACTACTAGTGGGTGGGGGCCCAACCTAAGTTATATGGGTGGTTGTCAAAATTATCGTGCCTTTTTGGATCCCTATTATAATTCGGCACCTAATATTTAGGGTACCCAAAAAGGGATCTTATTTTTGACAACCACCCATATAGGGGATTCTAGGGATTCTATAGGGACTATATAGGGATGATATGGGTTTAGGGTTCAGGGCTATTGTTAGGGGATTAGGACAATGGAAGAGACAATGGAAACTACCCCTAAACCCTAAGTAGTAGTTTACATCTTATTTTCCATTATAATTCTCGCCTATAAAACCCCGTATTGCCCCTGTAGTTTTGCTCCTTCAGACGGTTCCTTTTGACTTGCCTCTATAGAGTTTAGGGAACGCGGAAGGGGGCCCTGTTCTGTGGAAGCCACCCCACAACGCCCAGACTCGCACCTTTTGGTTGGTTAGGTGCGCAACCCGCAGGGAAACCTGGACGTGACCTCTACTCAAGGCTTCATGCTTGATTTGACTGCAGCAGAAGGTCCCAGGCCAATTTGGTGAGTCTTCTTAAAGAATACGCAGGGGTCTGGTCCTCCTGCCTTGATGAGCTTTCAAATTACCACGTGCGTGCTGTCGAATAAAAAGGCCACTTGATAGTTTCCCAAGATAGGGGGGACCCCAATCCAGACCCCAAAATACTATCATATACTACAATCCTTCTTATAGGGACCCCAAAAGGGTACCCCGAATTGTTGGAAAGCACTCTTCCTAATCAGGTTCTGGATCTTCCCTTTTGGCCTGCCAGGCCTGCCCTCATGGATTTTGGCCCGGGCCCCGTCCAGGGTTTGCCACTTGCATGGCGGACAGGGTTTTGCCACTTGCATGGCCATACAGCGGCGGACAGGGTTTAGGATTTAAGGTTTAGGGTTTACCACACTGTACCATACTGACAAGGTTTAGGGGCTGGCCAAAATTTCCGCGTGTGTGCTGTAGAGAAAGGGTTGAAAGGTAAGGCTTTGGGGTGGTAGGGGGATACTTCTGGGCGCTCTTGCTGCGCAGTTGAAAATTAAAAAGTTAAATGGGAGAGAACATTCCTAGGATGATTTCTCAAAACTATGGGTCCTCTTTTTCAAAGGGTGCTAGAAAGATGTCGGGAACTTGTGTCAGTGCTCTGACAAGGCCCTTCCTGCTAAGGATCTACCCACATCCTCTCTGACACCAGCTCAGTAGCCCTGCCGCAGCCACGGCAAGGTCCTGCACTGCCGCTGCTGCCTGGAAACAACTTTCTGGGAGCTCGTGGCTCCATGTGGCTACATTTGAGTCTGGGTCTAAGATGGCCTAAGTCTGAGGGTTTTTGTGGGAACTTTCTTGAGCTGGCTGCAGAGTGAAATTCTCAAAAATTCAGCCACACGGCCAGAGTCTACCCAGCTCAAAAAGCAACGCGGCATGTTCCCAATCAATCCCACTGTTGTTTGACATCCCCCTAAGCCGCGACGCAAATGAGCATACAATGATTGCAGCAAGACTCCCCGCAGCCCCTGCACCATCGAAACGAACTTTGCCCAGCCCTATCAACGATAGAGCACAGCCACAAGAACACTAGCGCTGCTACCAGTCATACAATATACAGTCACAGCAACTCTCACTGCCTAATTTTGCCAGGGCGCATCTTCAAAGTAGCTCTGTAAACCTGCCAGACACACGACTAGACGTCAGATATTCCACGGGCTGAGCAAATCTGAACCACAAAAAGAAGTCAAGAGGTTCCAGAGATACCTTCAAACAACCCACCCGTCTGCCCAGCCAGAAGCATTGGAGGCCTACCACTGCGCGGAGTATGCTGCCAGTTCTTTTAGCAAAGGAGAAACTCAAAGCCGAGACACAGCTGCGGTAGCTCGCCAGTGAGTCGCGTTGCAGAAGGAAGGGCATCCTCGCAAGGGCAAGCGGTGAGGATTCAGGACCTTGAGCTTTTGGATTAGGCAGGGACTCAGGGACTTGATGAGTTGGGATGGTTGTGCAAAGGGTTTGTCCTGATAAGGCTACGTGGTCGCGTCAAGACTAGACTGTCCAGTATTTGATTTTCTGTTCTCTCCCCGTCCTTGCAGGAACCATCGGGAAAAGGTCCACGAAACCCTGATTGAGGAAATCCATCTGCCCATGCAGGTCTAGGGCCTCAGCCTCCGTGATGCAGAAAGGCAAAGCCTGCTGGACAAACTCCGCAGGAGTGACCTGACAGGAAACTCATCATCAAGCTGTTGACTACATACTTACATACTGTGAAAAGGTTTTTTGAAGAAGCACGCACCTGAAGATCCCCATTCACATCCGCAGCGCGCAGTGTCTGGTTGAAGTCCCCAAGCTCGGACTTCACCAACTCGCGGTAGTCACAAAAAGCCAGGCGGCCCCGGACTAGACGCAGGGAGTCCAGAGTGAGGTAGCCAAGCTGTCCCGGGTCGAGGCTCTCGAAAAGCTGCCGCGCATTCATGGAGGTCACTCGCTTCCTCAGCAAACCTGCCACCCATTCCAACTGGCTCACCTGGCTGTCCTGGTTTGTGTCCAAGAAGGCAAGCACGTCTTGTGCCGTGGGGTGATCCTCGCAGATCTAAACACTTCATTCCATGTCTAAGAAGAATTCGAATCTGCAACCTGACGCCTTTTCAGCTCGAGACCCTTGGCGGTCCGCACGCAGGAGGATACGAAGGCTCGGAAGAGTCAGGTCGTAGCTTATAGCATCCAGCTGCCGCTCGGTCAGTCGGAGCACATCTGGGGCCTGCGATACATATCTACACAAAACACTCAGGCTTCAAACTTCCTTGACATGTTTTCACATCAGCAGCTCCATGTTCAATGGCGTAGCTGGCCTGGCAGAGGGAACCCAGAACATCGTCTGCATTCTCGGGTGTGAGGCCCAGCGTTCTTGTCACAAAGCGTTTGAACTCATCGTTGGTGACGATCCCACTCCCGTCTGAGTCCATGTTGCTGACCTAAGCGATCCGCAGAGCAGCCGACACATCCTATGGGCAAAGATACGGTACCACTTTGAACTTTGAAGTACAAGTACTATCGCAAAAGTCACAGGACCTTACCCCTGCAAAACTGCAAATTGGCTGGAGCGGCAGAGCAATCAAAACTAAGCCGCCGGCTACAGCCTCTTTGGTGGCAAACAAAGACTGCAAGAATCCACGGAAGCCCACCAATGAGACACCCTCAACGCTGCCAAATCCTTGGTTAGGAGGAGCTTCATTGCGCCATCAAAAGCAATGCTTGTGCCAAAATCTCAAAGTGTGTAGACCTGCAAGCCTGGTAATTAACAGGCTTCAATGTATTTATGCGTACGGATAACGAGGTCAACCCTGAAAACCAAGCTGTCAGGAATCCCAGGGCCACGTAGCGCTCCAAGAGCACATAGCCCTGGTAGAAGACGTCAATGTGCCTGGCCCCGCGGCAATAGAAGGCTTGTGAACGTGTCTGCTCAAGCTTAGGAAGGCCCTTTCCCTGGTGTAGTTGTTGAAGCTAGCTTTCAGTAGGCAAAATCAAAAACTGCACTTAAGCCGCAACTGCATGCAATTGCTATCAAGCGTTTTGACTTCTGGAAGTAGTCGTTGTCATAATGCTGGTGGCAACGAATGGTGTAGCGTAGTGCCGGTGAGTGGTGGTGGCAGCGGCGGTACTTTGAAATCCCGGCATGCTCTCCACACATTGGCCGTAGGGCTTCACGCACTGCAGGCACAGCAGATCCTGGAGCACCAGGAAATCTGCTTGTACTTCTGCTCTATGGCAACATTGCGGGGCCGGAGTCCGCGGCCAGACTCATAGTTGAAGCTACGTTAGTAGTCCTACTACTGGTGGTGCCTCCTCTTCATAGTTTTGGTAGTAGAGGAAGATGTAGTGGTACAGTAACAGTAGTAATAGAAGGGTAGAAGTAAGAGCTGAGGAGTAGGAGGAGTGAGAAGAGTCGGAGGAGTAGGACGAGGAGGAGGGGGACGAGAAGTAGTAGGAAGAGGAGCCGTAGTAGGAGTACTACTAGCAGTGACATGATGCAGGAGGAGTAGCTGTTCTGGTCATAAGAGCATGAAGCGGCAATAGCAGCAGAAAGTAAAGGTAAACTTCTAAGAATCAACACCTGTACCAGCTCATGGCAACAAGGGCAGAAGCCTCCAGCTCAACTCCCCCATGACAGCGTCGAGGCCATAGTCCTGCGCAGGGTTTGAGAACGTCTGAGCAGTGAAGTCCAAATTTGGGGAATGGGCGCTCAGTTGCTTTGATCAAATTTACACGGGGATTGCCCGGAAATGGCAATCCTAACTGCTTGACTAGTTTTTGATCCCAACCTCTGCTTGTCCTGCTGTAAGAATCCAACGAATTCTTCTTCGGTCACGCGATCATCGCCATTCGCGTTGGACGCATTCCAGGCATCGTCTACTAGCAGGAAGCGCGCCTGGCGAATTGGCATTGCCTTTGGTAGAATGCTCGGGTTCGAGGGGAACAGACCCTAAACTCTCAGAGCAAGTGGGAGACAGTAGAAATGCAGGAGTGAATGTCAGGAATTCCCTGATTAGAGCAGGGTTCAAGCCTGTATGGATGATGCTGAAAAGTAGGGCAGGGGGTTATACAGTGGTTGCGCACACATTCCGCGAGGAATTTCGTCCTACATGTAACCTTCAGATGATGACACCAGCTGCCTGCATCAGAGCACGGAGAGTCTGAAGATCATCCTGCCCCATGAGGAGGAGGTAATGATTGCCTTCAAGCAGCGTGAAGGGGCTTAGGGTGCAGGACATAGCTTGTCAGCTGCATGTTCCTGGCTTTGAGTTAGGGGTTAGGAATCGAAGTCTTTCTTTAAATGGACTTCACTTCGTTTCCGGTGAAATAGGAAATCCACAGTACGCATACCGTGGATTTCTTGCTTCTACCATAACAACAACAAAACACTACTTCCCCAGGAAATTGTAAGCAGACCTTGGACCCTACCTCTGAAACTCTAAACCCCAGAGGCCCTACATACATCCGATATTTTCCACAGCACAACCTTTATACCCCTGTATCCCCCCAGAACCTTCCATGCGAGCTATGGTCTAAGCTCTAAACGCCATAACACTTCCCTATAGAACCCCCTACATAACCCCCTTTGAGGAGTTTAGACTATGCCCCTGTATCCCCCTACAACCTTCCATGTGGAAATAAGGCCAAGCCACTGTCAAGCTGGCTCTGGCCGAGGCGCGCCACCGAATCCCAAATGGCTTCTGCATTCACCTGGTCACTTCGTGATATACAGAAAAGAGACATTAAAAACTGGAATATGGTAAGCTCTAGGAATATACAGCAACAGATCATAATATATATATATAGATATATGTATATATTATGTCTACTGATATGTAGTAGTATGCATGGTAACTTAGGATTGCCGTGGCATGTTTCCAGGAGTCACCCACCGCATTTTGGTCATTATTGAGAGGGACTGTCCCGGGGCGCTATTTGAAACTGAAGGGAATGGTCGATGGTGAGCTCGCCTCAACGTTTCAAACCCGCTAAACTGGGGCCAAAGGGATCACAGTAATGCTCTTAGAACCTTGCGAACATACCGCTAGAACCCCGACATATCCCCCTAGAATCTGCATACATCCCTTGAATTCTTGAGGGTTCCCTCTCTGCTGGCCGAGTCTCGGTCGTCAGCTCTGCAACTGACACGACCTGGCCCACAAATTCCTCCTTCGACCTCGAGGCTCGCATCGCACGTGTTTCACGGAGTTCCCGAGTCATAAGTGCTACCTTGCCTTATCACGAGTGAATAGTGCTATCATCAGATCCCATCAAACTTTACTGCAGTTCAGGAAGTGGCGGATGCTGCTTTACCCGGTAGCCAGTAAGCAGTAGTCAGGCTTGAAAGCCTTTACTCATCTGCAGCTGCTGGCAAGCAGTAGGCGCCAATGGCGGTTCTATGTGCAGTCACCGAAGGATCTTCAGTCTTACAGGAAACAGGCTCAGCGGTGCAGACGATGCAGTACCCAAGCTCCGCACACAGAGGGCTGTCCGTCCAAGCTTGCACCAGAGAGCATCTGCGCCTGGCTTTGACATGATTGAGGAACTGTGCCGCCCTGGCAAGGCTTCTGGCGACTGCAACTGACTGAAAAAGCGTCATCAGGATACGCTATCAATGATGCTGCAGATGTCTCCAACGCCTGCGAAGAAATCCAGGAGCAGCTTCCTATCAAAAACCCAGAAGGTTTGCATGCTCCAAGCGGCTGGGGTCAGGAAGATGGATGCCATAAGTGTTCGAAGCTCGGTGATGCTGACCTCTGGTTCCTGGAGGTTCGCACGAGAGGCGCTCCAGGAAGGCTTCACTGACAGCACAGCATCTACAACACGGTCTTTTTTGCTGCTGGACTTGTCCAGCTCTCTGGCCGAAGCATCCCGATCATGAGCACTACTAGCTCATTCTCCAGATTTGCTGAAGTCAACTCTCAGGAATTATCTCATAGAACGCAACAACTTAAAGTGCCAAGTAAAATGACATCTCAACTCCCAAGCAAGGGCCACTTGCACAACCCAGCGGTCCAAAACTTTGTACTGCTCCAGAGTGAGGTACCTCGGCTTCACATGCGCGGGCTGGAAAAACAAGTTACCTGTACCTCTGCAACATCTCGGGCACAATGCTGTGGTCTCCCATCCATTTGCTACTCATCGGTCATGATTCGGGGCTTCTCAAGATAGGACCTTCGGGATATGCCAGCGAGGAACTGCCTAGCAGTGGAAGGATCTACCAGGCGCTCAAGGACAACCCTTGGCTTAAAGAACCCTATCACAGGAACCAAGTCTATGCAAAGCAAGACAGGGTGTTCTGTGCAGAAAGGCGCTACTTTATGGAACTGGGAAGACCCCTCCATGTAAACATATCAGGAATACACAGCCTTCGGCAGAACGTGCTTGGAGCATCGCTCAAAGCACAGTGCCTTAGCCCTCTGTGAAATCCGCCCTACACGCTTCACAAGTCAGGGAGCTGCTGGCTCAAAGTCACCCCAGGTCGGTGCTGGATTTGCTGGTAGAGAACCTGCAAGCTCACACTCTACGCTGGAATGGCCGTTCTCACGAAGAGGGGGGGCTGCCCGGAAAGGGCCAGGTTTTTCGGAGGGAGAAGAAGGAAGGGCCTTAGTTGCCTTGCTACTCATTTCATGCAGCGGCTAAGGGCTTCTGGCCTCTGCATCCGCAGATCGGGTCACGCCAATCTCAGCTGCTTGAATCAGAAACTCCTCCTCCTGGGCTGCTGCACACAACTGCCGGGGGGATCCGGGTGCAACATCCTGAATGCAAAGTAGATTCAAGCAAGTGCTAGGTCTTTTTGAGTTTGTCAAGGCCGCACGTTTGCTACGTGCAAGGCTCCTCTTCTAGGTCCGTAGGCTTCCATGTGTGGGCTTGGCTGGCCGTGGAATTGCCAGCTGGTTCTATGCCGACAGGGACTAGAAACAAACAACTCCAATACCACAT